ACAGCCACCAAGGTGTTCCAGGGCGTCCTGGAGCTGGAGGGCGTCGAGGGCCAGGAGCTGTTCTACACGCCTGAGATGGCGGACCCCAAGTCAGAGCTGTTCGGGGAGACAGCCAGGAGTATTGAGAGCACCGTAAGATGGGGGGCGCAGCCCCCGCCCAGCCACTGGCCCTCCTCCCCAGATACCCAGGGCAGCCCGGCTTGGGCGGCCCCCCAAGTCCTTGCCTACCCCCTGCCACAGCTGGACGACCTCTTCCGGAATTCAGACGTCAAGAAGGATTTTCGGAGTGTCCGCTTGCGGGACCTGGGGCCCGGCAAATCCGTCCGCGCCATTGTGGATGTGCACTTTGACCCCAGTGAGACCCCCACCCCGGACCCTTCCTGGGAGGCAGTGGGTGGGGAATGCCTGGGGCTCTGCCATGCTCAGAGCTCGCTCCTCCCCAGCCACAGCCTTCAGGGCACCCGACGTGGCCCGGGCCCTGCTCCGGCAGATCCAGGTGTCCAGGCGCCGGTCCTTGGGGGTGAGGCGGCCACTGCAGGAGCATGTGCGATTTATGGACTTTGGTGAGCGCCAGGCCGCGTGCCACGGCTCGCCTGACCCTCCTCTGCCCATGCCCACACCCCCACCCCTTCCTGGCCCTGCTCCCAGGAAACCCTCACAGTTCCCTGTGCTGGCAGACTGGTTTCCTGCGTTCTTCACGGGAGTCACGTCAGGAGCCATTGCTGCCGTCGCCACGGCCAGAGCCACCACGGCGTCCCGCCTGCCGTCCTCTGCTGTGACCCCTCGGACCCTGCACCCCAGTCACACAAGCCAGCCTGTTGCCAAGACCACGGCAGCCCCCACCACACGTCGGCCCCCCACCACTGCCCCCAGCCGTGTGCCCGGACGTCGGCCCCCAGCCCCCCAGCAACCTCCAAAGCCCTGTGACTCTCAGCCCTGCTTCCACGGGGGCACCTGCCAGCACCAGGTCTCTGGTGGGGGCTTTACCTGCAGCTGCCCGGCAGGCAGGGGAGGCGCCACCTGTGAGAAGGGTAAGGACGTCCACTGCAGGGGAGGACAGGGAGGCAGCAGGGTTGGGGCAAGGATTGAGGGTGGGGCTAAGCCACCATCAGGCTTTCAGTTGGGGGCAGGATTAAGGGGGGGTTCCGGCCAAGCGACGTGGCTCACACCTGTAATCCCAGCACTCTGGGAGGCCGAGGCAGGCAGATCACCTGAGGTTGGGAGTTTGAGACCAGCCTGACCAACAGGGAGAAACCTTGTCTCTACTAAAAATACAAAATTAGCTGGGCGTGGTGGCGGGCGCCTGTAATCCCAGCTACTCGTGAGGCTGAGGCAGGAGAATTGCTTGAACCCGGGAGGCGGGGATTGCGGTGAGCCAGGATAGCACCATTGCACTCCAGCCGGGGCAAAAAAAGCGAAACTCCGTCTCAAAAAACAAAAACAAAAACAAAAAATGCGGGGAGGCGGTTTCAGGGATAAAAGTGGGGAATCCTCGGAGCTTTTCCAGCTGGCCTTCCCGGTTGCCCTTTGCAGCGCTTGGTGCCCCTGTGCCGGCCTTCGAGGGCCGCTCCTTCCTGGCCTTCCCCACCCTACGCGCCTACCACACTCTGCGCCTGGCGCTAGAATTCCGGGCGCTGGAGCCTCAGGGGCTGCTGCTGTACAATGGCAACGCCAGGGGCAAGGACTTCCTGGCCTTGACACTGCTGGATGGCCGGGCGGGGCTCCGCCGGGCGGGGAGGGGGCGGGGCGCGTCAGTAACAAGGGAGAGGCGGGACTCCGCTCCCTAACGGGGTCTTCCTCCTCCCGTAGCTGAGAACAGCGGACGCGGGCTTCCAGCCAGTGTGGGCACACAAGAAGTGAAGTGGGCAGCCCTGGGGCAGAGGATGCGACTACTGAACTGAGGTTGAATCCTTCACGTGTCGCTACGCGATCCCCTGTGGGGCGCGCATCCATCCCCATCTGTTCTTTTCCCCAGCTCCCAGGTCGTGCGAGACGCAGAGAGGGGAGCCCCCAGACTCCTGACTCTAGGGCGCCTTCCGCCTCTCCTCTTCCCTCTCCCAGGATCTCGCAACTGGGAAACTATAATCTAGGAGGAAAACCTAGGCGGGCAAGAAAAGGGGCTGTTCTGTAAGATGTGTCTGTAAGCCTCCTCCTCCCGTGCTACCTTGGGAGCCCCACAACCTCCTCCCATCCAACCCTACGCACTGCACATACCCGAACCTATGTTACTTCCCAATCCAGGCAAACACATCTCACATCACATACAAACAACTCCCTAGAGACGCCCACTTCTCCCGTGTCGTTTCCACACACGCCCTTCTCACACGCAAACAACCCTCGCTCAAACACCCCCCACCCACGGAAGCACCTGCCCAGCGCGGGCCCACCCAGCCGTGACGGTAGCATGCGCACGCACGCAGAAATCCCTTCCAGCCACATCCCGGGCTTCATTGTCAATCAGATTAGTAACAGAATGGAAACAGACAAGTCAATAAATCAAGTCTAGAAACAGTCCCAGTGTTGTCTATCACCAACTCCTTATCCTCTCAAGGCTTGGATGCTCAAGTGCTAGGCATTTTTGTCTTAGAAATAAAACCACTTCCGACTGGGCGCGGTGGTTTACGCCTGTAATCCCAACACTTTGGGAGGCCGAGGCGGGCGGATCACGAGATCAGGAGATCGAGACCATCCTGGCTAACACGGTGAAACCCCGTCTCTACTAAAAATACAAAAAAAATTAGCCGGGCGTGGTGGCGGGCACCTATAGTCCCAGCTACTCAGGAGGCTGAGGCAGGATAATCGCTCAAACCTAGGAGGCAGAGGTTGCAATGAGCTGAGATCGTGCCACTGCACTCCAGCCTGGGCGACAGAGTAAGACTCCTGTCTCAAAAAAAAAAAAAAAAGAAAAAAGAAAGAAATAAATAAAAGAAATAAAGCCAGTTCCTCACCATAAATGTAGCCCTGAAGCCAACACCAACATTTGCTTTTGGCTCTGCTGGGAAAGTAGCTGCCTCACCTCACCTTACCCCACTCCCTTTCCCCCACTGCCTCAGTGTCTCCGCACTCCTAGGCTCATGTCTGCCTCTTTTTTTTTTTTTTTGAGACAGAGTCTCACTCCATGGCTGGAGTACAGTGGCACGATCTCAGCTTACAGCAACCTCCACCTCCCGGGTTCAAGTCCTCCCACCTCAGCCTCCCTAGTAGCTGGGATTACAAGCGTGTGTCACCATACCTGGTTAATTTTTTGTATTTTTAGTAGAGACGGAGTTTCACCATGTTGGCCAGTCTGGTCTCGAACTCCTGGCCACAAGTGATTCATCCGCCTCGGCCTTCCAAAGTGCTGGGATTACAGGTGTGAGCTAAGGGCACCTGGCCATGTCTGCCTTTTGAGGGCGCAAAAAGCCAAGAGGCCCCAAAGGAAAGTAGTTCAAAGCAGGGGGTGTAAAGAAGGATGTAATGGCAAAACTGTGAATGTCCTGCGATTCCCAGGGCATCAAGTCTCAAAATATTTGTTGAATTCCTGTTTTGTGCAAATTCTAGTTGGGCAAGGTGGCTCACACTTGTAGTCCCAGGTACCCGGGAGATTGAGGTGGGAGAATTGCTTGAACCCAGAAGTTCAAGGCTGCAATAAGCTATGATTGTGCCACTGGTCAGACAGTGCTGCTTGTATTTAGGACAGTGCTTCTCAAGCTTTAAAGTGGACACTAATCTCCTGGGGATCTTGTCGAGTTACAGATTCTGACTCTCTAGGTCTAGCTGGGGTGGGGTCCCAGGTGATACAGATGGTGCTGGTCCCAGACTACATGTTGAGTAGCTGGACTGTAGGCGATACTGGAGAATCTGATGTTGTACTTGGTTTTATGAAGTATAATAGAGAAAATATCGTGCGTATTTTTAAAATGTGCAGTTAAATTGACTAATGATGCAAAACAAAGCTGGACATAGAGATGATAAATATAGAAGAATGGTCCAGTTAATGTATATCAGAGAGTTTCCATGGTCACCAGGTGTGAGGGCATGGATAGGTAACTAATAAGAAATCCAATAGTTGTGGGCCGTAGCCAAGTATTTGGGGAAGGTACTCAATGCTACTGATCCTTGCTTTCATTATCTCTGGAAAGGGCATGATAATCATTGAGTGAGGATTAAGGGAGATGATGAATATGAAAAAGGTTTGAAAACTGTAAAATGCTCACAGTGGAAGGTGTGACATGAGTTAAACTGCTTGACAGCTCAGAGGAATGAAATCAATCAAGTCTGCAGGCTTCATGCAGGACAGGAGGCAGACCTGAGCTGGATAGGATTTGGACAGATGAAGCAAAGGAGTGAAAGGTCATTCCAAGACAGGAGATCAGCATTAGTTGGACAAAGGCATAGATGTGGGAACCCGCACACCATAAAGAAGGGGAGTATTCATGGTGGGAAGAGTAGGAATAAAATTTGATGGGAAGGAGGAAAGATGTCATAAAGGTAGGGTTTAAACAATAATTTCAAAATTATAATAACTTGTGTAAACCATACACTAACTCTTGTTTTAAAAGATCTGCTAATGTACTTTCCTCCATTACCAGAGTGTGAGCTCCTAAAAGTAGGCAGTTTTAGCACCTCATGGGGCCAGGCAGCTTGAAAGGAACCAAGGATACAGAGGTGAGGCCATCACAGCAAGGCTCCTCTGAGTATTGGGGGGAATTTTCTAGATTCAAATTCTGTTTACCTTTTCTTTCCTTTAGAGATGAGGTCTCACTCTCTTACCCAGGCTGGAGTGCGGTGGCACAATCATAGCTCACTGTAGCCTTGAACTTCTGGGCTCAAGCGATTCTCCCACCTCAGCCTCCCGAGTGTGATCCGCCTCGCCCAACTAATTTTTAATTTTTTGTAAAGATGGGACCTCAGTACGTTGCTCAGACTGGTCTTGAACTCCTGGCCTCAAGCAATCCTCCCACCTCGGCCTCCCAAAGCACTGGAAGTATAGGTGCACACCACCACACCTGGCTAATTTATTGTATTTTATTTTCTAGAAACAAAGGTCTTGCTATGTTGCTTTGACTGGTCTCAAACTCCTGGCTTCAAGTGATCCTCCCGCTTGGGCCTCCGACAGTGCTGGGATTACAAGTGTGAGCCACTGCACCCAGTTTAGATTCAAATTCTTGCGGGTTAAGCAGTTCGCCATAGTATCAGGATTCTGTAAGGAAGCATGGGTGCTCCCATCACCAAGTGCAGAGCTATCACATGGCATCGGTTTAACAAATGTTGAAATGGATAAAGACAATTTCTCTTTCTTATTCTTAGTTTTATATAGCTATAATTGTGGTATACACATAATTTTATATCTTTTTTAACTTAACATTATATCATAATTTTCCCATTTTTGTCATGTAGGCTTATTTTCTTCCAAAATTTTTGGGGAAACTATAAACCCTGCAGAAAAACCCAAAGAAAATATAGTGGAGGCTGGGCACAGTGGCAGAAGCCTGTAATCCCAGCACTTTGGGTGGCCAAGGTAGGCGGATCACTTGAGCTCAGGTGTTCAAGACCAGACTAGGCAACATGGTGGAAATCCTGTCTCTATTTAAAAAAAAAAAAAAAGTAAGTGTAGTGTAAACCTACTTACCCTTCAGCTAGATTCATCTCTTTTTAAATTTTGGCATATTTGCCGTATTCCTCTCCTTTTTCTTTCATTTTCTTACCCACTTGGTACAAGTTGCAAATATCATGACACTTCGGTTTTACACACTTCGGCAGGCATTGCCTAAAAATAAGGAATTCTATCAGGCTACAAGATGATTATCACATTTAGGAAATTTAATATTTCTGTAATACTATTGTTTATCATACAAATCTTATTAAATTTTTTGATTTTTCCTGAAAGTGTCTTTTATAGTTTTTTGTTTGTTTTTAAAACATTTTTAAATTTTCCTTCAGGCAGCCTCCTGAGCCAGAGTAGGCTCAGAGAAACTCCCTACCGTTTTTTTTTTTCCTGATTCTAGGTGTTTGTTTATTTATTTATTTATTTATTATTTTGAGATAATCTCACCCTGTCATCCAGGCTGGAGTGCAATGGCACAATCTGGACTCACTGCAAGCTCCGCCTCCCGGGTTCACGCCATTCAGCTGCCTCAGCCTCCCGAGTAGCTGGGCCTACAGGCGCCCGCCACCATGCCCGGCTAATTTTAGTTTTGTATTTTTAGTAGAGACAGGGTTTCACCGTGTTAGCCAGGATGGTCTCGAACTTCTGACCTGGTGATCCGCCTGCCTCGGCCTCCCACAGTGCTAGAATTCCAGGTGTGAGCCACTGTGTCCAGCCCTGATTCCAGTTTAATTAAGGTTCCCCATTTCATTTGTTTGCTAAGTTCCTTCAGTCTATTTTAATTTTGAACAGTCCCTTACTCTTTTGTTGCTAGTTTTGTTTTTCATGACATTTATCCTTTTGAAATATCCGGGCCAATTGTCATGTAGGATGTCCCCCATTCTAGACTTTTCCATAGTTTCTTCATGGTTAGATTCAGGTTGCACGTTTCTGAAAGGAGCACTACGTAGGGGATGTTGTGGACTTTTTAGTGTGTTACACCAGAAGACCCATAATGCCCATTTGTCCCTTTATTGGTGATTCTAGGCTTGATCACTTGATTAAGCTGGAGTCCACCAGATCTCTCCACTTTACAATTTAAAGAAAGCTGTGGAATGATATTCTGAGATCTTTTAGCTGTTTTCTTCAAGCAACATTTTACCCCGTGGTTTTGTCCCCCACATTGATGATCTATACTTACATTTGCTATTACACTGGGGA